AAAAGTAGCCTGACTCAAAACCCACCCAGTTCAAAGTCAGGAACTTGTGAACCAGTCCCAATTCCCATTATTTCCTTTAGTCATGCAATGACCCTCCTTTCTGACTCCAGCTTAACAAGTGGGTTGCAAGGAACTACTTAGCTAAGGTCATAAATTTGCTTCCAGAGAAAAACTGGCTTATTCAGGGAGTCCACCTTTGCTTCCAACCTGTTTGCATAGGTGGTTTGGGAAAAATAAAATGGATTCAATGATTCTTACCAGGGCTGAAAGGGGTAAAAGAAGATTGTATGAGATATAAATCTATTTATATAGAAACATCTGGCACTGAGAATAAAACAAAAATGTGTAGCAGAGGCAAAACAGCAATGGAGGAGAGAAATCAGAAAAGATCAGCTCGTGTTATTTCACAGAGAGGAGAGAGGGCTTAAGAGCATGGAAGAGAGACAAGGCAGGGCTACAGGCAGGGAACACTGGGTATTTTATTCTACGCTCCTTCTGTTTTCCAAGAAGCTGCCCACTTAAGGCGTGCAGATAATAAAGCAATGACTGTACTCAAGTTTGTGCTTCTTGCATTAAGACATTGTCTACTCTGAGTAATGGTATTACATATATGCATCACCTACTTATGTTACTGAATCCCCTGAAGATGAGGGTCCATTTGCCTGGTGACTAGAAGCTGAAATTTCAGAAACCCGTTTTGTTTTAATAGACCATAAATTTTATTGCCTGACAGGAAATGGAGAAGGGAGAACTCCTCTTAAAAAATAAAAGCAATGTACAGAAAAAGTGCAGCTTTGTGCAAATAAAATGGATTTATTGAATCCATTTTATTTTTCCCATTTTATTTTTACAGTTACAGAATCCCCCGTTTTATTCTTGTCCTTCTCCTGAAGGGCCCAGGGTGGAGGTGATTCTCAATTTTATTTATGTACCTGAACTTTCACTTATATTTGCAAAACTTCAAACCTGGCATACTAGGTATACCAGGTCCTGAGGAGTTTCCAATCATGAATAAGAATCATATATATATATATCCCTGGAGAAACAGAAGAAATATTTTGAGTGTGGGCCTGGTGTGGTTGTAGCGAGTCTTTGGGTTCCAGGTATAGTGATGATATTTGTTCCCTTGGCCCAGATTGAAACTGTGGGGGGAAAAAAGAGAAGGTGAATCTCTAAGTCTTGTTCTCACAATATGGTTTGGGTCGAATATTATGCTCTGGTCTAGAAAAAGGAAAACAGCCCAGAGCCACTTTTAATTCCAAATACATTTTTCTAAAGTAAGAGATATTAGTCATTGTTGGCTATTCCTTGCCTGTATGTTTTTGTTGAGGGGTGTTATAAATATATATGAAAACATACTTCTTTAGATATTTATTTTCTCATGAGTACTAATGTTAATGTATCTTCAACAAGAATGATTATAATTGGTTTTGTTCTTAGAAGAGTAGTGTTTTCATACCATTAGCAATCCTACTAGAGAATATTATTCTTTTAATTTTTTTATTTTATATATTTTATATCATTTTTCATTTTTGCACAATGTATGCATTTTCATCTTGGTTATAGTTCCCATACAGTGAATGCAAACAGTTTTCTCAAAAGGGGGAACAAGAAATAAATGCTAATTCTAGAATGTACCTTCTGATTATTAAGGAAGGGATTGATATTTATGGGTTAAGGATAATAGTCTCCATATACTTCCCACCACACTTGTTTTGTATGGAGAATATTATTCTTTTTTTTTTTTTAGAGGCATGTTTTATTATTTATTTATTTGTTTGTTTGTTTGTTTATACATGCACTGGGTACAGTCAGAAGCGCGGGAGGGTGAAAGAATTCACCAGAGCCAGAGCGGGGAGCAGAGCAGGCAGAAGGACCGCAGAAGGGGAGCAGCGGGTGGCAGGAGAGGGCTGCGCGCCATGCGGGACCCTCCTCCTGTGGCCGGGGAGCAGCCGGGGATAGAACCGGCGCTGCAGAGGCTGCGGGCAGCTTCGCAACCCAGCGCTCAACCGCTGCGCCACCAGGGAGGCCTGGAGAATATTATTCTTAATCCATAATTCTTAATCTTAATTCTTGCATCATTGGAGCAAAGATTTCCCAGTAAGGTTTGTCTTTTCTTAGTAGTAAATCCAGGGCTTTTTGCTTATTTTTCTTCCTTTATTCATCTCAGTCATTAAAACCAAAGACACGACTTCTCTCCTGGAATCTTATCACCTACCACTAAATGGATTTCTCCGTCTTTATTTCTCACCATTACTCCACAAGTTTTCTGTTGTCAAGTAGGATTTTTTACTTGACCATGCTTGTGACTTTCCTTTTGTTTTGGAGTATTTTTATATTATATGCTCATATTTATATGCTGAAAATCAGTTGCAGTCTGCACTGCACACCCAGCTGGTTCTTCCTAATCCAGTCTGCACCAGCCCGTACCTCTTGGCATCCCAGCTGTTCGGAAAATCCCTGATGCAGTTTTGACCTTCATGAGAACATCATGTCCTTGCCAAGAGGCATCTATGGAATGCTTCTGACATTTCCCTTCTTCAGGCATTTAAATGGTGCAGAGGTTTTGCAGCAGAAGATGCATGGAAGAGATTGAGCTGCTCCCCTGATCCTTCTACTACACCTTTTCCCTTGGGCCCTCCAAACTCATGAAGTCACACACTCATAAATAACTCCCATCAACTTTTGCCTGAAAGCCTCTATGTTTGTCACCTAGAGCTTCCATAATATATTGCCACAAAGTGAGTGTCTTCAAACAACAGAAATTTACTCTTACATAGCTGTGGAGGTCAAAAGTCCAAACTGGAGGTGTTGGCAAGTCTATGTCTCTCCATCAGCTCTCTCCCAGTTTCTGGTGGTTCAAGATGTTCCTTGGCTCATGATGACATAGCTTCAGTTTCTGCCTCCATGGTCATATCCCCTCCTCCTCTCCTGTATGTGTCTTTTGTCTGTGTTTCTCTTATATTAACATTGTTGTTGGATTTAGGGCCTGACCAGATACCCCAGGATGATGTTATCCCAACATCCGTAACTTCATTGCAGTCTAAAACTTAAAAGGGTCTTAAAAGATCCTTTTTTTTTTTCTAAATATGATGACATTCCCAAGGTCCAGTGCTTTGTATATGGGTCTATCATTTTAGAATACACCACTTACCCCTCAAAGCTTGTCCTTTTATCAGAAAACACAGAGGAGCTTCTGAAGGGGAGAGGAGCCACTCTACCAGCTGTCATAACAACCTGCTCTATTCTTCCATGAAGAACCTTTCACAAGCCAAAACAACACTTTCCTCTTAAGACCACCCAAAGGAAATCCAATGTTTGTTAACTAAGACAATCTCTAATTCGGTGTGAAACAGGAGAGGAGAGGAGGGACGAGCACAGAAAAGAGGGAAGGAGAGAGATGAAATAAAGAAGCAAAGTCAAAACAGAGGGGAAGGCAAAATCAAACTTTTAATCAAAAAGTCAAAATTATATGTCAAGTATGTATAAATCCATAACAAAAAGAGAGAGAGAGAGAGAGAGAATGGAGGGCAAAATTAGCGTCCAGGACATATAAAATCCTGGCAAAGTGAGGCAAGGTCAGTCTGAGCCATGTGAGTATTTGTCCAAAAGTAGAAAAGTGTATACTTGGATCCTTGGCATTTATTGTGGAGATGGGTACAGCATCTTAAAAATCTATATATTCAGGGCCCCCCAGTGGCACAGAGGATTGAGCACAGCACTGTGGAGCTATCCACAGCCTCTGCAGAGCGGGTTCGAGCCCCGGCTGGCCAGGGAGATAGCCACATGGTGCGGCAGACCTGTCTTGCCTGCTGCTCCCCTCAGCAGTGCTTTCAGTCTGTCTGCTTATTCTGCTCCCCCCTCTGTCTCCGCCGAATCCTCTCACCCTCCTGTGCCTCTGGCCTGTACCCCAATTCTTGTATAAAAATAAATAAATCTATTAAAAAAACCCTATACATGGGTCTCCCGGGTGACGCAGCGGTTGAGCGCTGGGTTATGAGGCTGCCCGCGGCCTCTGCAGCGCCTGTTCGATCCCTGGCCACTGGGTGAGGATCCCACATGGTGCGCAGACCTCTCCTGCCACCCGCCGCTCCCCTTAGCAGTGTGCTGCTTCGGTCTGCTTGCTCTGCTCTCCACTCTGACTCTGGGTTCTCTCGCCCTCCCGCGCTTCTGACTGTACCCAGTGCTTGCATAAATAAATAAATAAATCTTTAAAAAAAAAAAAACACCAAAAACTCTATACATTCAAGATCTGCATTGCCAGATAAAAATTCCTAAATGATACTATGATGAGTCATAGACAAACCTATAGAAAAATTTCCTCCTTTACACCCAAAGTGGTATAAGGGCATATACACATACATGTATATGTAGGTTAATTATTTAAAAAGAGTGTAAAATATTCCTACTTTGGTTGTATGTTTTATCCGATCTCAACTAAATAAGCAATCTCAGATCATATTCTACCCATAATTTATAATCTTCCCATTTGTGTCTAGTAGCATAAAATATAACCTTTATTATAATTGACTCAATTTGGTATACATCTACAAAACCAACTAAAAAACAGTAACTTGAGTAATATATAGGTACGCTATAAACATATAGCTACTGTAGTATCAGATAATTCCCTAACCACAGGTTATGTGAGTGGTAGTCCTTAAAATTTTTAACTGCCTCTGTTGTATCCCTTACTCCAAGAAATCTTGCTATTCAAGTTGTATTTCATAGTCCAGCAGCATATACATGATATGGGAGCTTGCTAAGAGTGCAGAATCTCAGGCCTCACACCCCAAACTTACCTAAGATATGATTCATATGTATATTTATAATGGTCTCTTCTCTTAAGCCATGAATTTAACATCTGTCATTCTTAGTATTTAATATCAAATCAATGGAACAGGTGCTATTTTCTCCAAGATAGTAATACTAAAAAATGAGAAGTTATGCAAATGATGTTAGCCAATTAATATTTTCTATTTAATGTTTATTTTATATAGATCCCCCAATTATTGAAGGAAATATGGAGGCGGCAAGAGCAGTGGACCTAATCCCATGGATGGAGTACCAGTTTCGTGTGGTAGCAACTAATACACTGGGTATAGGAGAACCCAGTATACCTTCAAACACAATTAAAACAGATGGAGCCGGTATGTAAAAAGCTTCTTCAAAAATGTACAGTGCAAATTCAATATACTGTTAAATGTATTTGGATATAAATAATGCTCTGAGGCAAGTTATTCTTCTGAAAAAGGTATGTGTATATATGTATTCCATTCCAGATGGCTAAAAATCAAAACATGAATCAGGCTTTTTCCCTATGGGTTAGCTGCCAGAACACAGGCATCGTGAAAACCACAGCTAGGAACCCCTGGTGGCCTAGGGGATAATTCCCAGCATTATCACCCCCACAGCCTGAGTTCCATCTCCAGCCATGGAGCTGACCTTCATAGGGCACAGCAGACCTCTTCTGCCTCATCTGCTGTTTCACTCAGCAGTGTATTTCAGTAGATCTGCCTGTTCTGCTCCCCACTCTGTCTCTGATGAATCCTCTCATCCCCTGCACTCCAGTTCTTCTTTGCGCAAAAAAAAAAAAACAAAAAAAAAAACCAAAAACCAACACAAAAACAACAAGGTACATTTAAAAAAAAAAAAACAACAACAACACAGCTAAACTAAGCCAAAAATGGGAAGGAAAAAAACTCATATAACATGCCTTTGATGGATATATCAGTTTGGCCAAGTCCACCACTGCTGGCCATCTGGTCTCCAGATGTGGTGGGGTTGAACAAAGAACCATCAACAAGTCTGAGAAGGAGCCGCTGAGAGGTATGCCTGAGTCTTGGATAAACTGCAAGCTGAATGTAAGCAAGGTATCATCTTCAATATGTCCCTGTGGAACTTCGACATCATTGATACCCTAACACACAGAATTTATCAAAAGCATGACTACAGGCACATCTGAGGCTGGCTGTGCTGTCCCGGTATTGCTGTTGGGGTTGGTGAGTTTGAATCCAGTGTCTCCAAGAAAGGGCGGACCTGTGAGCAAACCCTTCTGGCTTACACACTGGGTGTTAAAAAACTATTTGTTGGTGTTGGGCCTCCCCTTGTGGCACAGGCAGTTGAGTGCCATGAAGCTGTCCGCAGCCTCTGCATTGCCGGTTCGATCCCGGCTGGCCAGCGAGGGTCCTACATGGTGTGGCAGACCTCTCCTGTCTCGCCCACTGCTCCCCTCAGCAGTGTATTTCGTCAGTCTGCTTGTTCTGTTCCCCGTTCTGTATCTGGTGAATCCTCTCACCCTCCTGCACATCTGGCCTGTACCCTGGTTCTTGTATAAGTAAATAAATACATCTTTAAAAAACAACAACAACAACAAACCTATTCGTTGGTGCTAACAAAATGTATATAAGGAAATCATTGAAAAAGTTAGTAACATGGGCTTCCCCACTGGCACAGTGGTTGAGCTCTGGGTTGCGAAGTTGCCCGCGGCCTCTGCGGCACCGGTTCAATCCCCGGCTGCTCCCCGGCCACCGGAGGAGGGTCCTGCATGGTGCGCAGACCTCTCCTGCCGCCCGCTGCACCCCTCAGCAGTGTACCTCAGTCCTTCTGCCTGCTCTGCTCCCCGCTCTGGCTCTGGTGAATTCTCTCACCCTCCCGCGCTTCTGACTGTGCCCAGTGCTTGTATAAATAAATAAATAAAATATTTTAAAAAAAAAGTTAGTGACACTCAAAAAAGTGGCTACAAACCTGACATAGTAGTGTTTGTGCCAATTTCTGGTTGGAATGGTGACAGCGTGCTGGAGCCCAGTGCTAATATGCCTTGTCCAAGGGATGGAGAGTCACTCATAAAGATGGCAGTGCCAGTGGAACCTGCTTCTTGATTATACCTTGTTGCCAACTCATCCAACTGACAAGCCCTGCATCTGCCCCTTCAGGACATCTACAAAATTTGGTGGTGTTGGAATTGTCCCTGTGAGCAAAACTTGGCTCCAGTCAGTGCTAAAAATGAAGTCAAGTCTGTTGAAATGCACCATGAAGCTTTGAGTAAAGCTCTTCCTGGGGACAGTATAGGCTTCAATGTAAAGAATCTGCCTGTCAGGCCTCCCTGGTGGTGCAGGGGTCAGAGTCTCAGCGCTATCAAGCTACCGCCAGTGACTGTGGCATGAGTTAGATCACTGGCCAGGGAGCTGACCCACATGGCACAACAGATTTCTCCTGTCTCTTGCCAGCTGCTCCCTCAGCAGTGGATTTCAGTAGATCTGCCTGTTTTGCTCCCCACTCTGTCTCTGGTGAATCCTCTCACACTCCCCCCCACACCTCAGGCCTACACCCCAGTTCTTATGTGCATAAATAAAATAATCTTTAAAAAAAAGTAGAGAGAGAATGTGCCTGTCAACAAAGATGTTCCTCGTGGCGATGTGACTGGTGACCGCAAAACTGACCCACCCACGGAAACAGCTGGCTTCACAACTCAGGTGATTTTTGTGAACCATCCTGGCAAAGTTGGTGCCGGTGTGCCCCTGTGCTGCATTGTCACACAGCTCCAGATTTGATAATAGTATAGTCCATGTGTTTTTTATAAAACCAAATCCAACAAAGATAAAACACAGAAAAAAAAATAAAAGTTTTAAGAATACTTTTACATAATTAATATAGGGGAAGAGGAAAACAAAAATGACAGCATATTTTTTCCACTAGAGACTATTTAAATGAAAGTGGTATTACTGACTGAGAATTAAGCAGGGTATAATATGAAAAAGTATTTTGGGGGATATAGAGATCATGATCCAGGTCCACAATCAGGAGATGGTCCCAAGGTGTGTTCGCCTTGACTACAGGGGTAGCATTAAAGGATCAAGCAGGCAAGTAGCATTAAAGGATCAAGCTCAAGTGCTCTGAGCTTAGGCTATATTGGACATTTTGGGTTGGTTTTTAAGTTCATTTTTCTGTGTATGATTGGCTGACACCTTCAGACAGAAGACTGCAGTGTAGGGTCACTTTTTTCAAGCAGATGTCAACTGATTGCTGAGTCAGGCTGCCTGATAATTCATCCAGAGATTGCAACATGGCAGTTAGAAACAAAACAGAGTCTGTTAGATTTAACATAGTTTCCACAGTAATTAGCATATAAACTTTTTTTATTGACAGCTAATTAACATATTAGTTAAATTGTATTAGTTTCATTAGACCATAACCTCTCACCATGCACAAAAATCAACTCAAAATGGATAAAAGATCTGGACAAAAGACCTGAAACCATAAAATATATGGAAGAAAATATAAGGAAAACACTACAAGACATACATCTCAGAAACATCTTTAAAGACTAATCACCCAAAGCAAAGAAAGTGAAGGAAAAAGTAAATAGCTGGGATTACATCAAACAATGATTCAAAAGAATACCTGTACCGCCATGTTTATTGCAGTAGTATTTATAATAGGTAAAACCTGGAACCAACCCTAATGCCCAAAAATAGATGACTGAAACAAGAAGATGTGGTCTATATACACAATGGAATACTATTCAGCAATCAAAACAGATAAAAGCCAGGCCAGCAGTCCCTGATGTCCCAGTAGAAACACTATGCCAGCACCAGTGGTGAAGCGGCCCTGTGCATAGAACAAACCTGAAAGCAAACAACAGGAACAAATAAAAATACAAATATGCAAGCAAGCCCTCTGAGGAAAAACATACCGCAAAAATAAAATCAGCCCCCAGAATTCAACAACACTGATATGGAAGAATTTCTCGTCCTGACAGAAGAAGAATTCAGAATCACTATAATAAAAATTTTACTGAAGAAGAAATGGAAAAGAATGATATGAGAAATATAGTCATTGAACTGAAGAATGAAAATGAGTCTTTAATAAAGAAAATAAAGGAAATGCAGGATGTTAAAAAGTCAAGGAGGAGCTAAAGAATTCTGCAAGAAAGCAACAAAAACAATTGATGAAATGGAAGAAAGAATTCGTACTCTAGACAATACAGATATAAAAAGAACCAAAAAAGAAGAGAAAAGAGATGGACAAAGGGGAAAAAATGAAGAAACAGAGATAAACCCAACTCCATAAAGAAGGAAAATGTAAGAGTCCCCCAGAATGTGAAGAGAGAGACAAAAGAGCCAAGAACCCATTCAAGGAAATAATAGAACTTTCCAAACAAGAAGGAAATGAAAATAGACATACAGGAAGGTATAATTACCACAAGAAAAAGAGAACTACAGCATGACATATAATAGCGAAGCTTCCAAAAGTCAAAGACAAAGAAAAAATAATGAAGTTGATGAGGGGGAAGAAACATATAAATTATAAGAGAAAAGTGATTAGGCTGACATCAGGCTTCTCTGAAGAAACATTACAGGCAAGAAAAGAATGGAGCAACATATTCAAAAAACTCCAAGATTAAAACTTCTAGCCAAGAATACTTTAGCCTACAGAACTCTCCTTCCTATATGAGGGAAAAATAAGAAACTTTTCAGACAAACAAAATCTTTAGAAATCTGCTACTACCAACTCCCCGCTCCAGCTGTGCCCGCTGCTCCCCTCAGCAGTGTATTTCATCAGTCTGCCTGTTCTGTTCCTCGCTCTGGCTCTAGTGAATTCTCTTACCCTCCCGTGCTTCTGACTGTACCCAGTGCTTGTATAAATAAATAAATAAATCTTAAAAAAAAATAGAAAACAAAACTCAACCTTCTGCTGTCTCCAGGAAACACATTTAAGAGCCAAAGATAAACATAGATTAAAATGAAAAGGCTGGAAAAAAATTCTACAAGAAAATGACCCCCAAAGAAGGCAAGGACAGCCATACTTATATCAGATAAAATAGACTTCAAACTAAAAAAAGGTGAAAGGAGATGTTTACAGTCACTACATAATGATCAAGGGGACAGTACATCAGGAAGTTATACAACATTAATATCTATGCATCCAATAAAGTAGTGCCAAAATACATTAGACAATTACTTTCTTTTTTAAAAGACTTTATTATTTTTCATTATTTTTATTTTTTATTATTTTTTATTTTTTTACATCATTCATTTTTTTAAAGATTTATTTATCTATCTATCTATCTATCTATCTATTTATTTATTTATTTATTTATTTATTTATTTATTTATACAAGCACTGGGCACAGTCAGAAGTGCGGGAG